GATCACTCCAGTGAAATAAAACAACGCATAGGAAAAGCGAGATCAGCGTTCATAATGATGAAGTCTCTTTTCAGAAGTCATGATTTAACACTTGCTACCAAAATCTCTCTCATTAGATGCTATGTATTTTCTACCTTATTATACGGAGTAGAGGCCTGGACACTTTCCGAAGCTTCCTTAAGAAAACTCGAGGCATTCGAGATGTGGTGTTACAGACGTATCTTAAGAATTTCATGGGTGGATCGTGTGACTAATGTTGAGGTCCTACGTAGAATAGGCAAGGAATGCGAGATTATTAACACCATCAAAGAGCGCAAACTAGAATATCTTGGCCATGTTATTATGGAATGAACAGAGATACGGCTTGTTGCAACTCATTCTTCAGGGCAAGGTATTTGGAAAGAGAGGACCAGGGAGAAGAAGAATATCTTGGCTTCAAAACCTGAGAAAGTGGTTTAATACATCGACAACCGGACTATTCAGAATAGCAGCAAGCAAAGTTAGGATAGCCATGTTGATCGCCAACATCCGGAACGGATAGGCACCGTAAGAAGAAGAAGATGTCCTATCAGTTTACAAACTCTTGAAGTTAGAGATACTACAATACTTACAATTGTTACTGGGCGATAATTTGTAGCAAAAATAAATTAGTACAAATAAAAAATATCCTTTTAAATGAAACTATGCTAGAGGTTAACCTTAAAAAAAAAACAAATCTCAAATATGATTAGGTATTTACCAGATGTCAAAACTAGTGCTAAGTGTCATATGTCAATACTAAATCTTTAAACTGAGAACAATTAAAATGACAGCAAAGCCACACCCTAAGATCTACAATTTTAATTATTACAATTTCCTAAATTGTTATGAAAGCAGTTATTATTAGAAAATGTTTTTCTTTAAAAATCAACACAAAAGAGTTACCTGGATTTTACTATAATTTTACTTTAAATTTCTGAGGGTGAAAACTGGACTTCACTCTTTGCCACACGAACAAATTTATCTCCAAACTGCGAAAAAGTATTCTGAAACGGCTTCTTAGGACAAAACAAATTGAGCTTGAAAGTTGGCACTGGACACAAACTCGAAAATCTGCTTCTTTAAAAAACTGGAACCATGTGGGTATTTTTCAAATTTGTTGGAAACGCCTCAAATCTCTTAGATACGAATCTCTTAGGTGAGAGTCTACATAAAACAAAAACACAGTGATTAGTCGTTCAAAATTGACACATTACATTGAGTATAATTCACTTTTTTCAACAAATTTGCCGGTTTTTGTGGACTAAACAGACCGAAGTCTGTTATCAATGACCAATCATTCAAACCTGACTTCACTTCGACCAATCTCCCTCGTACCGACATCTAGTATTACGTCTCACCTCTGCTAGCCTCCTGGCAACGGAATTCTTTTCAAACACGGAATTTGATCTTAAAATCATTGCCTGCTTTTAAAATTGTAGAACTAAGATGTAAATATATGAATTGTTTTATTACACAGTTCTCCTGAATGCGTAAACAACTTTTAAAAGAAGTTTATACATAACCATGAGCGTACCAGATAAATTTTTTACTTTGAATATTCGATATTTAAGGAATTTATTATGCTACAATGTGCCAATAATAACAAAAAATATTACCAAGCATTTGCATGAAATGGCTAAAGAATCAGCTAGTAATAAAAAATTATTATCAAACGCTCGTATACATTTTATTGGAAAGTTCTGTAGAAAACTAATCTACATATTATGCAAAAAAAGATAATCCTTCTGTTAAAAATCTTAAGGATGATCTTTCGAATGTAATCAATCATGTCTTTAAAGATCATGAATATTGTAAACAAGAATATTGTGTAAAGTTTGGCGAAAAAAATGATAATTGTTTCAAGAGAGTTCTATGGAAACTATGCTCAGAATAATGGCTATTTTAAGCTGCTGTTAAGTAAGTTCTCTAATAAAAGATGCAACTAGCAATAGAGCAGAACAATTTATGCGACAAGTTCTTAAGTTTAATAACGCCATTTATAATAACAGAAATTTTACAGTCGTAGAAATATATGTCAAGCTGTCGGTTTGGCTTATCAATTTGGTCCTGGTTGGTTACTAGAAGTTTATGGAAAAAAAATTGGTAAGGCACCTTCAAATATTTTAAAACGTTTAGTAAATAAGAGAATAAAAATAAAAGAAGCACGAAAATTAGGTAGACCCATTTTATTTGTAAGATTCATGGATTATAAATTGTCCTTAAGTCAATTACTTTACTCATTTAATAGATATATTGCAAACATTACATTCATTGTTATTAGGTATTTGATAAAATTACTGTTTACACAATTTGGCAACTGAGCCAATGGATGTAACGATAGAAAACTGTATATTATGTTACGCCGGCTCCACACATGGGGGCCAACGCTGGCCTCAACAACGTTCGTCCAATATGTGTACCGACAAAACTGTGTTGGTGCCAACGTTTTTATGACTAGCTCCAACGTTGGGAGTTTTCCGTGGACTGTCGGTTTTTGCGTACACATCAAAGGCATTGCCGCCACAGACTGATATCGCCCAATACTCAACCCAATGTGTGGATGCCTCACCAAACAGTTGACCCAACGTTGGCTCCAACGCTGGATCCCATGTGTGGAAGCCGACCTTAGGGTTTGTAAATATTACAGATTCATCATGTAGAAATAAACAAATAAGTTTTTAAAACTTATTATATAAGTAACAAAAATTTTGCCACAACAGCATCATATATGTATATATTGACGTATATAATGTTAATTTATACGTCTATGAGCAGAATGCCGCAGTAAAGCCATTTTTAGAATCAGAAATAAATTAATTAAGGGTGCAGATCAACCTTAACTCAGTCAACAGCTTTTTCGAAGTAAATGAAAAGTATAGAGATTCCACATTAAATCTTCTGCTTTTGTAATCCATATTGTTCTTCTGATATAAATACTTCGCTTAGAACCTTTGGTGACCTCTGCTATTTTCCATGGACCTGGAATTTCGTAAGTCTGCCAGTACGTATTAAAACAATGTAAGTCGTAAATGGCAGAAAGTCATATTGAATTAATTTTGTTTTATCACACATATCCGTGCAGCTTTTCTATTTTCATATTTTTGTTAAATATAAAATATAAATTGATGAAATCAGTACTGAACAACTAATGGAAATAAATACCTTGGAATTACACTGTCCAGCTATGGAGACCTGGACAAAGAAGTGAGAAATCAAGTACAAAAAGCAAGTAGACTGGCAGGATGCCTTTACACATTAACACTAAGATGAAGTCAAGAATTTATAAAGTCAGTGTAAGACCAATAATGACATATGCCTCAGAAACAAAACCAGGCATAGCCACAACACAAAGGTTACTGGGAACGGCAGAGATGAGAAGAATAACAGGAAATACGCTGAGAGATCGAAAGAGAAGTGAAGACATTAGAAGAAAATGTAACGTACAGTGTATAAATGAATGGATACTACATATAAAAAAAATGGAATAACCATATTAGCAGAATGGGGGAGACCCGTGTCGTCAAAATAGCAAGAGATAGTAGAAATATTTAGTGAAAACCTTCCATAGAGGTATTAATCCGCCAATGAAAAAGCAGAATTTCTTATAATAACGAGGAAGAAGAAGAATATTTTTTTAACTGTGGTTTGTAGTTCGTTTATTGTTATTCCATCAACTCCTTCGACTGTTTCGTTATCGTCGTCTCAATCTGTGTTATTACTTCAGACTGCTTCTTGTTTTTTCCAGACTGCTTTTTAGTGGATCGTTCATTGATCTTTGATTGCTTTTAGTTTAGCCACTGTTTGATTTAAATTTCCCTTAACTTTATATGGTACTGTCTATCTTACATGTTTATCATGTTCGATATCAGTAATAAACTATCCCAGCAATCTTGGTGTTTTGGTCTTTGTCGTATTAGCTGTCTTATAATTTTTCTTTTGATTATATTTGTCTTTAGCTTCTTGGGTATTTTTACGTAGGAGTTCTAGATAAGCCTTCCGTTCCGCATTTATCGCTGTTTGTAGTTTCTCTTTCCATAATCATAGTCTTTGTTGTGTGCCATTCTTTTTTTCCCTATTGCTTCCTTTGATGCAGTCTATATGAAGACTTTGATGTTTTGCCATTTCTGTATTAATATCAGTATTAGTTTGAACTCGTGATATGTGTTGATTTAAATTATTTTGATATAGATTCCTTCTTGGAGTAGATGCACAGTTAGGTATTGATGTTATTGAAGGTACCAATAAGAAGGTTTCTGAATAGATATTCATTTGCTATAATATAATATAAGAGGGATCGTTGAGCTCTTGCGCTCTACGTGTATCATTTTTGCGGAAATAGGTGTTTGTCATTTTTGGGTTGTTAAAAATTGCGAATTATCTCAGTACTTCCCGATTCTCATTTGATTGGTACTCTCCAAAGGATCCAACTACTTGTGGTATTGATAGATTTCCCACATAGACATTTAAATCTCCATAGTTACGTTATGGAGCGCTTATTTAGGGTTCGATGTAATTCTTCTTAGAATTGGGTAGTTTCTTTTTTTTTCCTTTCCCTTTTTTTGCATAAACGGGTATGATATTTAAGTAACCTCTGTCAATATTCAACATTTTTATTATCCTGTCATTTGCATGTATATAGTTCGTTATTTTGTTTTTCCATTTCCATGTATTTTGCTATAAGCCATTATATAGTCACTTTTGTCTTTTGTACTTTTCAACTTTTACATGATTGCAGTTATGGCAGCTATATATATATTTTCCGCTTCTTTAGGTCTTTATCGAGATCTATTTCGTTCTTTTCTATTTCTCTTATGTTCCAGGTTGTGACTTTAGACCTAACTTTCATATCAAAACTGTGTTTCTTAAATTCACTTTGATAAATTATTGAAAATCCAGCTTTAGACTCTTTCTTAGTTTCCATCCAACAAATTGTGTTTCTTTTTAAATCAAATGTTTATTAATTTTATTTACGATTTCAGACAAAACGGTGTTTTAACGGGTGTTCAAACACCAAGCACATCGCCTCCAAATCAAGATATTTCAGCTGGAGCCCCTGTAAATAGTATGCCACAGCAACCAGGTAACATGCCCAGGACGGCTGTTCATCCTTACGGTGTCGACGGTAGGCAGATGGCTGTAAGTATATTAATTTGTAAATAATCTCATATTTAAGTTAAAGTCAAAACCATGTATAAAGACCGGTTTGCCATTTAATTTTCGGAATAGTACTACTACTACTATCGCATTACAGTGTTCTCCGACGCCTTCCGACTCCTAACTGCCATTCTTCTCTATTTAACCCCTTGTGGTGTCCACGTCAAATCTGTTTCGGAATCTTGTCATCTGGCATTCTCTGTACATGGCCGTACCATATTAACTGTTTTGTTTTTATGGCATCAACTATTGTATGCTTGACTCCCATCATTTCTCGTATTCTCCCATTTGGTATCCGATCTCTTCTTGATTTGCCTGCTGCTCTTCTCCAGAAGTCCATTTCTGTTGCTAGTAACAGTTTTCTCTGTTCTTTGTTTCATTGGCCAGACTTCACTGCCATATGTGATTACACTTTTAAGTATGGTGTTGTATATGAGTTGTTTGATCGCTTTAGATATTGTTTGGTCCCACAGAATGCCGTTAATCATGGATATGGCTTTTCTACCCTGTATGTTTCCGTCTTTTGTAGCAGCATCGAGTGTTCCATCAGTTTTCTTAATGTTGCCTTCGAGACCCAATTTGTTATATTCTTCTATTAGCTTCCGAGTCATGTAACTCAAGTCGTCATGATCGTGAGCAATCAGTATTTGGTCATCAGCGAAACATAAGGTGTACAGTGTAGTCTCATCTTTGAGAGGGATTCCCATGCCATTACATTTTTTCTTTTCCACAGCTTGAGTGCTTGTTCCAGATAAATTTTGAAAAGGGTAGGCGAAATACAGCAGCCCTGCTTTAGTCTTTTCGTGACCTTAAATCCCTCAGATATCCTTGATCCAGTTTTAATTTTTGCAGTCGTTCCATTATACAGACTTTGAACTTCGAACAGTTTCGGAATAGTACGGAATATAATATCGTACTTATATAGTGAATTTATACAAACACGTTTTAATAATGTTTGTTTATCAGTCTCTCAAGTGTGAATCCGTCTTGTCTTAAACTATGAATTAAACAATAAAAATTTAGCTGGTAACAAATAAAACAATGATTTAACTATTCATATTTATTCAATATAAAACAAAGCAAAAACAACCCTGCCTAAAGCTTTGCAATAGATAAATTGAGAACTAATACTTTTGGCATATATAAATTGTTCTGTTTCAGGCTGCTCGGCAACCTCCCATGTACCAACAAAATATTTATTCCCCCTACCCACAGTATTCTCAAACAAAACAGCAACAACAAAGTGTGTTGACAGGAAATTTCCCCATTCACCCTGACGTAACATTACGAAGGTTACCATTTTATGACGTTCTAGCCGACTTGGTGAAACCTTCTTCCTTAGTTCCTCATAGTAATCAAAGGTAAGATATGTGCATTCTATAATAATAATTACACACTATATTTTTACACGTATACATAAATATATATTTTTGTATCTAAATCTTGCATATGTTGCCTGTGTGAGTCCATTTCAAATAGGTAAAAGAAATAAGAATAAGACTTACAATCTATTTATTCTACAACCAACGACCGGTTTCGCATACCATAATTTGCTATGCATCTTCAGGTCTTAAGGTACATGGTAAAGTAAATTCTGAAATTAACAGTACCTTCCCTCTAATTGATAAACAGTTACAAAAAAACCGATGGTCATCCGTCACCAGTTTACCTGGATAGTTTGAACTATGATTTCTAAATCACTTAATAATAATTCTTGTACCGGCATGTAAGTAATATTTATTGATTATTTACTAATTTACTACTAATTTACTAAATTATTTTGTGTCACTTAATTTTACTTTTTCTGCTTTAATCAATTTAAGTCATATTTAATAAACACAGACATAATATAATATTGGCATAATTGCTGTATTTCTTTGCCAGACAGTACCCTAATTCTGGTTTTTGTAATTTCAGCATTTAATTTACCATGTATCTTAAGACCTGAAGATGCATAGCAAATTATAATATGTAAATCCGGTCGTTCGTGGTAGAATATATAGATTGTAAGTCTTATTCGTATTTCTTTTACCTTTTTTTGTATCTGTTTTGGTAACTGTTTTTTTTTTCGCGCGGATACTTTATGGTAGAATTTTATGTGCAAGTACTGTATTATTTCTGTTTGTTTGCCAGTATTGTAAGGTTGATTATTGCCTTGTCCAATTAGATCAATTATCAACTTCTATTTATCGAAGCCATGCTGTCTTGGATAAGAAGGGGATGAGTTATTTGAACAATTAATCAATTGATGTCTTTATGATGATATTTTGATCTTTCTACAGTGCTAGTCAAAAGTCTGTTCCCTCCCTCGTATCTTTTGAACGGTTATTGTTATAATAGTGAAATTTGGAGGGAGGTAATAAACAGATATATGCTTCTCACAGGTGACTTAATAGTGCCAGATGACGTTCCAGCACCACTGTGACAGATAATTTTAAATGGGATCTTAAGGCAAGTGATACCTCGTTTGAAAGGTATTGAAAATCCCTCTTCAACCGTACTAATTGTATTTGAGTTTAAGCTCATTTTGATGAATATATTAAATAAACACTAAAATTGTAGCTTCTCATTTAATTAATAAATATTTAAACAACCAGTTCTTATAGTAAGTGTTCAAAATCTGCTCCATCTACTTTCTGACAGTAATACATCCTATTTCTAAACTCTTGTCGTACTCGTTCAAATGTGTCGAGATAAATTGCCCTACATTCTCCAACAATTCGTTGTTTCAAAATGTCAATATTGTCGGGTGCTGTAGCGTATACTTTATATTTCAAGTATCCCCACAGAAAAAAATCTAATGGTGTGAGGTCCGGTAACCGAGCTGACCATTTTATCGTACCTCGTCGTCCAATCCATTTACCACTATATTCCTCATCCAATTTTATTGGACATATTTTCACAGAATTCTAGTCTTCGGTAGGGGTCATCCTCCGAAAGTTGGTGCACAATTTTTAATTTGTATGGATGAAATTTGTTTTCAGCCAACACTCGTTGTACTGTCTTTTGAGTGATTCCATAGATAAATGCAACTTGGGCTGTAGAAGAAGTAGGGTTCACTGCCATTCCTGAAATGATGTAAATTTTTTGGTCATTACTAATATTGTTGGTCGACCAGATAATTTGACATCTTGAACACTACCTGTTTGTTGAAATTTCCGAAAAAGCTTCCTCAAATAAGCTCTCGATGTAGGGTATCGGGATACCTCTCATAAAAAAGACGTTCCGCTGCATGGAAATTATTTTCACATTCACCAATTATTGTCTTTGTCGGCTACAGTACGTACCATTCTGCCTTTGTAAAAATTTAAACGTCTCGTTAAACAATAATTAAACTATATATTAACTAAGAACAATTAACTAAAAACAACTTGACTGAACTAAGCAGAAACAGAAACTAAATATTGAGCTATAAACGCCTTTGCAAACTAAAAACAACTAGAGAATTGAAAAAGGTCAACTTTTTTGACAAATAACCAAAGGCGGAGGTTTCACAAAAGTGCTCGGTCCGAGTGACCATTGAGCACTCTTGGCGCGCATAGCCCCACGTTGGGCGCCATGTCGTCGCAGCAAGAGTGGACCTATGAAATTATCCACTTTGCTGTGCGCTCTGCCTAGGGACTTCATCTATAATATATGAAGAACCCCTAATCATTTATCCATTTTACTTCTGAATGTGGATTGGTTTAGTTACAAGTCTTGATAAAGACTGTGTGTTTAATATATGATATCGTCGACCATCGTTTGTTTATCGAAATAAAACAACTTGTTGAGGTAAAGAAGACTGGCTACAGTCTAGAATTGCGGAAGCACGGAGCACCCCCTAGAGCGTACTATTCTCTATGTAAGGCCGTGGTCTATAGACTGATCCTTATTCGAAGATTGTGTGATTATTTATACACAATAAATGACAATCTGTCACAAAAGCTTTTCTTTGATTTGTTGAGTTGAGTCTCTCCAGCAGAAGTTATTGAAAAAAAAAAACTTCGCGAAGAGCACAGCTGTTGCAGCTGACGGATTTTCCACTCGGACCTTGAAAATTCAGGAGAGGTCCGCAGGAAGTCATCTCTTTTGTTGAGACAATTTGAACTTTTTTCAATTTCTACTGATCTGGAGTTTTAAAAATCAATTTTGTGACCTGTATTAAGATGGTGTTAAGGCTTATCCTCGAATATTGTAACGGTAAAATTCAGAGAGATGTCTATTTCAAAAATATCTTTCTTTACAAAAACAAAATCCATTCACGAAGAATATTCTAAACGTCATCTTGTACTAGAGGTAAGCTTTATACCTACCTTATACAAGCCCCTATTGTGTAAAGTCTTGGGTCTATACAATAAACAAGTGGGCGGCCTTCTATTCAGTGCGGTTTTGAAATAATGTTGAATAAAAACATTCATGAAATTAAAATGAAAGAATTTACTTCTATTAGTAGAAGTGCGATTTATAAAATTAGTACTTGAAGCATAAATCGCGGGAGGAATATGTGCATCAGTTTTCAAATATTTATTATTTACTATATAATTTCTAAATTGAACCACTTTCACTTCTTTAGTTAACAATGTATCTGTTTTGACAACTAAATAGGTAATTAGACAAAATAATTATTAATTTCAAAACAGGAGTTTAAAGAATTAGAAAGAGGTAGCCCGGCCCAGTTAAATGGTCAAGCTTATTCCAGTGGAAGCAATAAGGAGGATTTTTTTTCGTTTTGGCACAGCTGACATGCTCTCTCTAGCACTACAACCCATGAAACTGTGGTAAAAAGCATGCTTTATTTATACGGTTGTGAAACACGACGATTAACAGAGACAGATTAATATCGAAGAAAGATATCTCGTCGAACTTAATGCAATAAAGTATGAGAATAGAAGGTACAGTCATGGATGGCATACAACGAAAGCAGCTCAAATGGGTACAGTCCAATAAATGAAAGACAGTAGACTCCTAAAACAAGTTAACCTTAGAAAACCTTAGAAAACACGGATGGAAGGAATAAGAAACTTAATGAGCTCGAAAGAACTTAAAGAACAATGGAACAACCGAATTGAATGAAAAATGAACGTCGGAAGACATTTTATAAGGATTATATCATATTATAGGTACATTTTTTGGACTAAAAATAAATTTGAAGAAAACCAAGTTCATGGTATTTACAAAAGCACAAAGCATCAAAGTTAAGCTAGTACTAGATAATACAGAAATTGAACAAATATCTTTGTACAAATACCTTGGAGCATGGATCACAGAAGATACTGATTAGACAAAAGAAATAAGATGCCGCATTGGAATTGCACGGTCAACTTTTAATAGAACGAGAAAACTTTTTTGTAATCGAGATATCAATATATCGCTCCGGATAAGAATGCTTTGATGTTATATTTTCTTTACCCTTTTATATGGGATTCAAGCTTGGTCACTTAAAAAATCCAACATTAAAAACCTAGAAGCATTCGAAATGTGGTGCTACCGACGTGATTTTAAAATATCATGGATGGATCGCAAAACAACCGAGCAAGTTCTCGAACAACTAGGAAAACAATGCGAAGTTTTAAATTCCATAAAAATCAGGAAATTAGAATACTTGGGGCACATCATACATCACACATCAAGACGAAAAATCTAGTGGTTACGCAATCTCCGTGAATGGTTTGGATGCAATTCAACAGAACTATTCAGCCGCATATCCAACAAAATGATAATTGCCAGAATGATTTCCAATCTCCGATAGGAGTGGAACTTGAAGAAGAAGAATAAGTACATTATTATTATATCATATTATATATATATATATATATATATATATATATATATATATATATATATATTTATATAATATATGACATAAACGATATTGAAAGAGGTTACAACATAGACAATCAACAAAATCTACATGACAACTACACAGTGAACACCCAACAATAATAGAAGTCTCAAATGCCGTCCTAAAACTCAAAGACAATAAAGCCACAGAAATCGATTAAATCTGTTGGAAAATATATAAAAAAAGGTGATGATCAACTTTTTGCAGTAACCCATAAACTAATAGTACTTATATGGCAAAATGAATTTGTTCCAGAAGAGTGGCTAAATGAAATAATATACGTTGCATAAAAAGGACGATTAACTGGATTGTAAGAACTATAGAGGCATTACTCTGTTAGCATCTTCACCTGTTAGCACCCTGCTTGGCAGGGTGCTAACATATCAGATCAATTTACGGTTGCAAAAGGCTTGAGACTGGGAGATCCTTTATCCACTACATTATTCAAATTAGTATTAGAAACTGTAATCAGAAAATGCAGCATGAAGATGGAAGAAACGATCATGAAAAATGAGCACCAGTGCTTGGCATTTGCTGATGATCTAACGATCCTAGCAAAAACCGAGTAAGAATTAAGAAGAGTTGTGAAGAAAATCATCGAAGAAGCACAGAAATTTGGATTGGAACTAAATGAAGACAAAACTAAATATATGATCATAGAAGGAACAGAAGGGAAAAAAGAAGACTTTAGTATGAGGTCAGTAAGTGGTAAAAGCTATAGTTTTAAAAGGGTGGACAAATTTGAATACCTAGGTGTAGTTTTCGATGAAAATGGAAAAGAGAAATGGGAGCTCGTAGCCAGAATAGCAAAAGGGAATAAAAAATTAGGTGGTTTAAGAGCCCTACTGAACTCAAAATACGTTTCTAGACAAGGTAAACTTAGAATATATAAAACAGTAATTCGACCCACAGTAACATATGCCGGTGAGCCTGGACATTAAATAAGAAGGAAGAGGATACTCTGGAAAGATGGGAAAGGAAAATATTGAGATGCATATTCAGAGGACGAAAGGCAGAAGATGGTTGGGAGAGAAGAACCAACAATGAATTAATGGCTTTATACAAAGAACCTACTATTACCAAGTTCGTCAAGGCACAAAGAATCAGATGGTTGGAACATGTGGAAAGAATGGCAGCAAACAGAATTCCTAAACTAGTAATAACCAGAAAATTAATCGACCCCAAAAGAAGAGGTAGACCCAGAACGAGGTGGATTAGTAAAGCGGAGGAAGACCTTAAACACGTGAAGGTGAGGGAATGGAAAAAAAGCACAAAATAGAAGCGAATGGAAAAATATTGTACACCAGGTCCTTCAGAGTAGTTAAGAATGTTATATATACATATTTACGTTAAAGTTTTGTTTAAAATAATTGTAATTAGTTAATATTAGAATTATGTTGTAAAAAAAATGCTCTAGGCCTTAACGGCCTGTTGTGCGTAAAAATAAATAAATAATAGAGTGCAAAAATCGAAAGAATCGCGTTTTTTGCATTAATTGTTAATCATTAAAAAACGGCTCCGAACTTTACGCAGGAAACAGGTAGGTTTTCTTCTTATAGGTCTACAATAACTAAAAAAGTTGTCTGCTACCTGGATTATTGAGTGTCACGAGAAAATCCTTATTAGCCTGGACTAATATGGCTGGACAAGCAAGTGAAGAAACAAACTTCATATATTATGTAAACTTTACTAACAAAAACGTTGAAAATAAATATTCCTATAAATATAAATAATCAAATTCCATATTCAAATACAGCAAAATATTTGGGTATTGTCCAATAAATATAAATAATCAAATTCCGTATTCAAATACTGCAAAATATTTGAGTATTACTCTAAGCTTTTATGTAAAGAAGAAAAGAAAATAATAATTCTGATTGAAATACAAAAAAATGTACTGGCTGATTGACCAAAATTCTACGCTGTTTCTACATAATAAATTATTATTATATAAGCAAATACTGAAACAATAGTATTATTATAAAAACAGTATAAACATTTAGAAGGAAAATGTTACAAATTAACAGAAAATATTTCTATTCATATAAAAATTTAATCAAATTATAGGTACTTATTATAGGTACTGCTTATTTATATAAAATTTCCTCAATCGGAACATAAACTTCTTCGTGAACTACCCATTTTAAAAACAATTAACACACTGGTTTGTCAAAAGTCGAAATAAACCCTAATAATGTTATTCAACATTATTTATGACCCACCTTCGAGAGGGTATTATACTTCTTACCTAACCAACCTAACCGTGTCGACGAGAATCCAGAAACTATCGACAAGGACAGCCTGTACTGGCCGAGAGACAAAGTTACATTTAGCAAAATTTGAGATTTTAAAAAAAGTTTATACCAAATAGCTGCTTTGTGTTACACTTTATGTTAAAAATAAAAACAGATTCGGAAAGTGGGTCAAATTCTGTAGTGCCCTATTTCAAAAAAAAATTTTTTACGTTTATTTTAACCAAAAATATTTGAAAAAAAATATTGTTTAAACAATTTATTAATTTACAACTAAATAGTGCACTACAACTTTTTAAGACCTTTCATATAAAAAAAGAATCATCTCAATATCTGCCATAGTTTTTGCGTTATTTGATATAAACTTTTACATTGGAACTTAGGTATGCCCAGAAACGCAAGGAACGGCCTTAACCTAGTGCTGAAATTGAGTCGGCATTGCTAACAGAAATGGAGTGTTTATAAATCTTATTTGGATTCTCCGATTTGGTTTTCCTATATACGTGTGGGATCGGGGGCAGTCTGCACAATTAATTTCATAAACTCCGTGTTGCCCATTTAGAATGTTGTCTTTGATTGATCGGACAAGAAATAAAAGTTTTTGTTCTGGGGTATTGTCTTTATTTCTCTTGAATTCAGAATTTTGTCGATTTTGTCAGTGACACCTATGATGAAAGGAAGAAAAGCTTTATGATGGGGGCCTGAGTCTTTGGGTTGAGATTGAGTCGGAGATTGATGTCTATGGATAGTCCTATTGATGTGATTTTCACGATAAGATATTCTAAGAACATCATCAGTGATCGACAGACAGTTGCGATCGCTGACACATTATAATATCGACGAACCTCATTCCCCAAGGAATTGTATCATTATGACCATTTTATTTTCTTTTATGTCTATTTCATATTGGAATTACCTGCAAACTATCGAATTTTTTTATGATAATTACTATTAATTATATTTCTAGGATGCAAGAAGGCAACTTTTATTTTAGTTTAACCCCTCAGCAAGCGACTGATATAGCAAGCAGTAGGGATACCAGGCCGGGAACATGTGATTATATAAAACAAGTACAAATGAGATTTTGTTTGTTGGAAACGAGTTGTGAGCAAGAAGATTGTTTTCCTCCAAATGTATTAGTGAAAGTAAATAATAAGCTTTGTCCGTTACCAGTAAGTTGATTTAACTATATATTTATATTTTTTACCTCACATTTTTCAAAACAATGATGACTTGCGTCTTCATTATCAATTTGTTTCTGTAATAAGATCATTTATCGTAAATGTTTGTTTTTTCAGATTTTTTCTTAATTTAACTCTATGTTTTCCCAAATCAGTTAGTTAGCGATTCATATTCACGTACTTTTTGACCGTTTTATCTCCCAAATTGTAGGTTAAATTTTCCGCAGCTTCTTTGAAAGTGTTTATTCGACTACATACTCTATGTGGGTTCAGTTATGGACGCCATTCTTGTTTCATCATACCTACATCAAACCTATAAATATTAAGTAATTGATACCTCGCGTTTTAAACTGCTTTCAACCCTAATTTTCGACCATTTTTTCTCAAGCAACCTTATATTATTAAAAAAATAAGTTTTTATTCACAAATGTTTAAGAGAAAATTTTCTTGTATTTACTGTATTTCTCTTTTAAGTTTTTGCTAGTTTTAAATGTGATATTGCCTTGATGCTGCTAGGTAAAGGCTGAAGAATATCTTTTTTATATGCCACAGACCTTTTCTTTTCGTTTGCAGTATCAAATGTTCGACATGCAACAGGTGAAAAAGCAAACTAAATGAAGTATTTTCTTCAAATCAATCTCGAACCGATAATTTTACATTAGCGTAGCATAAATCAAGTAGATTTTGTCTGATTATTGTGAATGTCTGTCAAATATAAATTTTTAGTTCTAATGACCCAAAAGTAGGTATAATATATATGTGATCAGGTGTAACCAGTAGATATGAACAAATTGAAAAACACTGTGGCATTCGTTACTTGAGTTTAACTTTGGGTTTTTGATTACTTTAACTTCGAAAATTAACATCGACTGAAAAGATATCTCATGTACAGAATATACATCTCATGTACAGAATAGAACACCATTACCAAAATACCGGTAACCCTTATAGGTAGCAGTTGTATAAATTAGAATCAAAACCTTTTTATTCATCTTTTTATTTTCAAATTAAAAATTCAAATGAACTGTTTTCACTAAAATCTATCTCTTTGCAGAACCCTATTCCCACAAATAAACCAGGTGTAGAGCCGAAACGACCCCCGCGCCCCGTAAATATTACAGGTATGGTAAAGTTGAGTCCTACAGTTGGTAACCACATATCTGTATCGTGGGCCACGGATTTTACAAGAGGATACGTGATAAGTGTTAGTTTAGTCCATAAGTTGAGCTCTATGGACTTATTACAAAGACTGAAAAGCAAGGGAGCAAAAAATGTGGAATATACTAGATCTATAAGTGAGTATTTTGTTACTTATTTTTTATTCTACATTTGTGGATTAGTATGAGGCTTTTTTTGGTATTAATGGCTTTCTTCTTCTTAGAGTGCCGCCTCCCTACGGAGGTTGGCAATCATAATTGCTATTTTTATTTTAGAACTTGCTGCTCTAAACAAATTATTTAATTAATGGCTTTGGTTAGGACCAATTAGCCAGATGTTAATGCATGTATCATATTTAGGTAGGCTCTTTTTGAAATAATTGTTATCATAAATTTTCTAATCGATAACTGTCTTCGTATTTTGGGAGGGGGTTGAATTGCTTTGGCTTGTGTAATATTTATGTGTGTTGTCATTTATTTTGTTGTGCTCAATATTATTTAGATGTCTGTCTATAATCTATAATTGATCGTAATTCATCTTTAATGTAATTGCACTTCACTTTGCAAAAAATAATTTCCATAATAATTTCCTATGTAGGTATAGACCAAGGAGCACAGAATTGCTAATAGATAATTTATATTTTAATATGGATAGTTTTTTCTGATGGTTGTTTCTGTTTGTAGGGAAGATACAGGTATTGGTTTTGGACTCGGATATGGAAAGTCCAATTCATCTGGCCATTTTTTAATTTTGATAAATTCAGTAGTTGCATAGGTCGTCATCGAGATTTCCGTCCGGCATTTTTGACTTTAGATTTCGTAACTATGGGGTTTTACCGGGTTGGGTAGTTAACCCAACGCCGAACCCACTTTTCGGAGGGCCATTTTACCCGCTCTCGTCAGTTTCCGACCCAACTTTCTACCCGGGTGGATACCGGATCTCCAGCTGGGTTGCTCGGTTAACAGGGGACACCAGCGTGAAGGTGAGAGTCGGATTTGAGTAGAAGAGGCTAGTTGGAGTAAACTGGAATCAACTCCATGTATTCACATTCTACCCCTTTATCCCAAAGCGAAGTCAGCGAAAGAATAATCCTAGCAAACAAATGATATTTTAGATTGAGTAGACATATGAGAAGCAGAAACTTAAGCCAAAAAACAAAAATAACCATATACAAAACCCTTATACAACCAGTGTTGACATATGGATCGGAGACATGGACCATTTCCAAGGCAGATGAAAACCTCCTGCATATATTTGAACGAAGGATCCTGAGAAGAATATTCGGTGGCATCTGTGAAAATGGTGTTTGGAGAAGGAGGTACAACTACGAGATATATCACAGATATAAACATATATTTGGTGGTAAAGACGTAGTATCTCTTATAAAAATAAGAAGACTAAGATGGACAGGACATCTGGCAAGATCACAGCAGAACAACCCTTCTAGAAGAACCCTTATGTCATAACCTGTGGGAAGTAGAAGTAGGGGTAGGCCAAAACTCAAATGTAGGGATGAGGATGGTAGAAAAATAGGCGCAGCAAACTGGCAACAGTCTGCAATGGATAGAACTGACTGGTGTAATAGACTTGGGAAGGTCGAGGCTCATTTATAGGGCTGTAGTACCAATAATGATGAAACTCAGTAGTAATATTTTGTGTACATTTATTAGTCATCTGTTTTATCACTGGTATTTAATCGGCATACTGGATAATTTTGGAGTTTTGTGAAATAATTTATCCTAAATCCATTGTATAGAGACTGAGCCATTGAATTCAGAATACTACTTTGTCGTGACCCAGCTCTGCAGATTCTTGAATCTAAAATTCGTTTGATTTCTTTTTAAGGAAACTGATCGATTTGAGTAAGCTGATTTAATAAAATTGATGAAAGAAGAAATGGGTCTGAGTTTGATGGTTGTATTACTTATTAGGTACCCATAGTATTGTTTTTTTTCCTAGGTTAATAGCACTGGCAAAGCCAAAAGGCCAGTTATGTATTGTTTTTTAAAATAATGTAGACAAACAATTATATTCCTTTTACTTCTCCCCAATTTTATTCGTATATTGCAATCTACTGAGAATTAATTTTACATAACTAACCAAATAAATTTTAGTTAAAGAGAAACTGAGCGATGACGGGGACGAAATAGCAACGACTTCTTTGAGAGTATCATTAATGTGTCCTCTCGGTAAAATGAGAATGACTACACCGTGTAGGCCTATGACCTGCATGCATTTGCAGTGCTTCGATGCCTCCTTATTTTTGCAAATGAACGAAAGGAAACCAACATGGAATTGTCCTGTGTGCGACAAACCAGCGCTGTATGATAATTTGTGTATAGATGGGTGAGTACCGTATATATTAGTTTATTATAAGCATATCTTGCCTTGTGAATATTAGTATATCTTTTGAAACATACATTTTGATGATCAAGATAGAATGATCACGTGAACGGCACTCACTCTTTGAATGATCCTTTCCCTTACTTTTATCCCTAATATATCCCTAAAATATTACAATTCATATAAAGAATAAGTTAAAAGAAACGTGTAACACATTTTGCATTTGTTTATATAAAATATGTTTTTGATAAATCAAATCGAGGACATACACAAGAAACAGCCTCGGTCGGAATGTGTGAGTCATCAGAATGTTGGAGCGCGACCTTGTTATCGTCGGCTGATAAAACAAACTTGACCCACTTATGAACGACTGCTGATATAGCAAGGACTATTATAAAGGCACAACAATTATTATCTCGGGGAGTAGAACTAAATTAACGTCAAGATGGTAAGTCGATATACCACGTATTGGCGCAACGTCAACTAAGTACTAATTATCATTAGGATAAGTAATATTGTAAGAGTATACAGTAGTGTTTTAAATAAATGTACCATACGATTCATTGAAATACTTTGAATTTAAAAATTTTTCCGTTGAGTTTTTTTGCACCTGATTGTATATTCCTGGTACAGACAGTACACCTAATTCTTTAAATTTTCTTTTGCAGGAAACTGTAAATTTAAAACCAAGCAGTATCTTACTATTTTGTTTTTTGACGTGAATACTTCTTGTTTAATAAATATTTTAATTACATAAAATTGAGTAAAATTAACTAAAATTAAGAAAAATTAAATAACATTAAGTAAAATTAGGTAAAATAAAATAGTTTGTTATTTTGTTGACCATTTCTGTTAGTGTTTTCTGTCAAATTTTTCATTTAATAACTGTCAAATTACTTTTTCCATCTATATTTCACATCAGTTTCGTGAACTGGTATTGTATTATTTTGATCTTGGAGATTTTTATAAGGACAATATAATCAAATTATTGTTTTAGCGTTCAGCATTTTTATTGTTTTAGGTATTTTACGGAGGTTCTGAATTCCCCGCTTCTTCCTTCAAGCTGTAATGAAATTCAGCTGAATAAAGATGGTTCGTGGTGTGTGCAGACTAGTGTGAAAAACCGAATGCGAAGGTGGACAAACCCACAGTTATCGGCCTTGAAGACTCTGTAGAAATAATAGATGATCTTGGTAAGTGCCGTTATTATTCCGTTAATATTTATATCTTATATTCAAACGTAAAGGTCAATTAAGCTTGTTAAATAATCCCTGCACCCAAAATGGTCCACTTTAGAATATATACTTATCATCTTGACTAAGTTGCAAAGTATGGGTTGACTTATGAGATTATTCGTCTCACTTGATATTCAATACACGAGAGGGAGCAGAATATAAAGGATTACAAAGGGATTGTTACGCAGTTGTAAAAGCAGCGTACATTTGGCTCGCTTGGACAGATACAAACATACCGACATCATATGTCTGTTAACTCTCAGATATCACGCGATATCGTGTACACTATGAAAAATATGGATTTTTCACACATATTTCAGACAGTTAAGTAAGATAAAATGGATCAGTGGATGCTACTATATTTAAGTGAATAAAATGGTTAAAAACTCATTCTTTAATGCAAGATAATCCATTGAGTCACACCCATCGAGCAAAAAGACAAAAGAGGGAATCTAATCCTTATGAAAAGGAGACCAAAAAAGTGGCCTCTGATGGCGGACATATCCGGGAATGCGAATGAGCCAAATTTAAATTTTCCGACACTTATTTACAGTAGCTATATATATTTTTCAGAATGTGTCTCAGACGAGAAAGTTTTAATTAATTATTAACGATAATAGTCTAAAATGCGACACAATTGTTAAAAAACTTCAATATAAATAAGATTTCATGTGACATTTGGGACAAACAATAACATAACCCAACTAAATTTGGTGTCAAACAAGGAGACTCTCTTTCCTTGTTTAATGTGACCTCTAAAGATCGCACTTCCTGTCTAACAATATTTTTGCCCCCACTACCTTTACATTCCCTCTTTTGTCTTTTTGCTCGATGGTCACACCACAGTTTGTTTTTGATTCTCGGGAACAAAAGTTTTTTAAGACTCTTTTTATTGCCGCAAAGTTTCTATCGTTCGGCAAAAAGGAATGGCCACGTTGTGGAAAGTACTGGTTTATGGTTTTAAAACTTCCAGTATCTACTAACGAAAGTAGAAATCTCACTACAGTATGATTCCGGTTTTGATCGGCACAGCTGTCAGAAAATAAGTGAAGATATTTCACAGCAGTAGACACTTCAGACTTGATATAATACATAAGAAATGAGGCAACTTCATTGGGACCCTTTCTGAGTTGACCCTCGTGGTAGGTGTAAAACATCCCTTGTTTTTTTGCATATTGTGAATTCCAAAGTCGTTGTAGGTTAGTTGAGGTAAGTAAAAAATCTCCTGTACAGGAATAAGTGGAAGTTGAAGATTTTTCATATAATCAAACGTCAGGCCACATACATTGGCATCTGTCTTGTATATCTCTGCAATTTCTGCCATTTATTGTAGAACTTCTTTGCACGTCTTTTATGTACAGATAATTCCGCAATGGCCACGCGCTTCGCTGTCTCGTTTAAAGATGGACTCTTAAATTTTATTTCTAACTACTCACATTCACAGCACGTGTCTACCTGTGGACGTCCAAAAGATAGAGAAAAATGTTTCTGGAAAATCTTTAAATAAAATTTATACTTCACTGAATTATTATTTTCAGTAAATTTTGCACAAAAATAGGCCATACATAATTCGCACAATAAATTTTTTGTCAGTAATGCTTGTAATTCCCTTTGTAATGTGAAATCTTAGTGGGAAAAATTCCCAATATGAGTCTTAATCTGTTCTATTAAATTTTCAGCCTTAGCATTCCCTGAAATATTTTTTCCGTATTTATCTAGTGGTGCTTTTCCTTGTACAAGAAGCTTAGCAATTCTTCGAATTCTTTCATGACTCACAGTGTGAATTCCGATGAAAGCTTTTTTGCAAACAATGATTTTGCCCCGAGCCTGTAAGAAATTGCTTTGAATCCATTGTTTATAAAATTAACAAAAGTAGCGTCACTTCAAACACTTTAACTCGGTAAATAATAATCCTCATGTCAGAAATTTTGACATGAGGATGCTCATGTCAAAGGTTGCTTTTGAAGGTTATGACTACCTAAATGTCAAATGGAAAATTCATTAGAGTCTCCATCTCATTGGTTAGGCCCTGGACTTATTGACCGACTTATTTGTTAATTATCCATAGTTTCAAAATTTTACAATATTACTTTCAGAAATAGTCAGCTCAAATACCGCCGCCGCTCCTACTTCTACAACTGACAAAACAGAGGATACCGCTAAGCCAGAGGAATCCAGGAAAAGGACGTAGTAGACTTAACCTTTTCAAGTTCCGATGACGAAGAACCCGCCGCTAAAGTTAGAGCGGTAGCTCCCAAACCAGGTACGTCTGCACCTTCGAGAGCTCTTAGAAATAAACCTAGGGTATGTTACGCTGAAGCTGAACAAGATGTACAGTGAATTACTTGTTTTTTTATTTGTGTAAATAGGACAATAATTGATTGTAAAATAGTGAAACATCACAAAGTATCTCTTTAAGAACTTATGTTTAACTTGCGTTTTAGTTGAACGGTCTCGAATATTGCAGGAATAGCAGTATTTTTTATTAAATTGAATTTGACACTATTTTGTGTAACCTAAAGAATCTTTTCTAACTTATTATTTACTAGATATTTACGTAGAATTAGCATCATGCAGTAACTCGTTGACTTAGTTATATTGTTTTTATGAGACTTAACTTACAAGGAACTCGAATATTCATCACCACGATTCGGATAATTATGCATGTGCATACTTGGATATGCACTTGCATATTTTCTCAAGATAAATGCATATTGGTATCAGTTAAACAAATTAATGCATATTTTTTGGCTTTTATCATAATATTTATATAGTAAATTGAAATCTTGAAATTTAGCCACCTTTATATACTTGACCATCTATTATTCCTAATGTATCTCTGTAGATTGACTACCGACTGCGCCATTTTTTAAATTATTTCTTCTTAACATGCCATACACCAAAGTGCGTAGGCGACTATCTCATTACTAGAATTCTGTTCTTGGCGGCGTGACACAGCTCACCTGTATTGTGTATTCCTGTCCATTCTTTAATATTCCTTAACCAGGATAATTGTTTGCGGCCGGCTCCTCTCCTACCTTCGATCTTCCCTTAAATTATTTACAACACTCAAGTTTCTAGAAAATAAAATGACATTACTCTTCTTCTTCTTCTCGATATGCCTATCCGTTACTAATGTTGGCGATCATCATGGCAATATTTATCTTATCTGCAGCAGCGCGGAAAAGCTGCACAGATGTTGTACTGAGAACAAAGTCTCTCTAGTACCACCATCATTTGTGAACCCGAACTGGTTGGGGAAATTTGACTTTCACACAGCTTGTAGATTCTCTAATGAATTACCTTTAGGAACAATTTTAGGAGATGACTCATGAGGCTTATAGTACGGTAATCTTCCCATTTTTTGGCTTCTAGTTTTTTTGGAAGTGAGATAAACTCAGATTTCAGCCATTCTGTTGGTATTTCTCCAGAGTTGTATATGTTGTTGAATATCTTTGCGATTATTGCTATTGATTCGTTTTCCATTAGTTTGAGTAGTTCTGCTTGTATATTATCAGGGCCTGCCCCTTTGCCATTCTTTAACTGTGTTATTGCGGAATAAACTTCCTATTCGACGATATCTAGCGTAGCCATAAAAAGTATTTGCATACGCGAACTTGCTCATTATTATTTATATGAAAATAGTTTGCATTATTTGGTTTAGGCACTCTGCACTACTGTACCTGTACGCTGGTTATACTGGTTTGATGCATTTGTGAATGAAATCCCTCTGTCTATTTATGTTTTCCAGTACCCAATATTTTTTAAAAATATCTTTCCTGATATTTTCATCTATTTTATTAGAGCATTTTAGCCGGCATTTATCTCTACAAGCAGGTCTGATACTCTGGCAACAATAGGTTTTTGTGATTTAGATTTTGAGGTATATACTTGGCCAGAGTTTCGTAATTTCTTGGCTTTGTTACTTAACCAGTTTTCTGCCACTGCTACTCGCTTTTTCCCTCTTTTTTAGTGCCTGGCAATTTTGGTGTCTGCTGGGTGAGTGTTTCTTGCTTGGTGTCTGCTAGTTGAGTATCTGGTACTTCAGGTCCTGATCCTTGTAAGTTTGCTGCTAGAGTGTCTGCAACTTCAATGTTTGATACTTGAATGCTTGCTGCTGGAGTATTTACTGCTTGAAAGTCCGCAAGTGGAGTGTCAGCTACCTGGCTTACTTTGTGTGCATTCGACAAGAGACCATTGGAACCTAGACTATAACTACTGCTTGAGCTAGAACTATTACTTGCTGTAGAAGAGGAGGACGAACTATAGCTACTAAAATCTGATACATAGTTTGGATATTTTATGGAATATACATCATCATTATCGCTTACGAAGTCCAAGATTTGGAGTTCGTCTTTCCGTTGATGTAATGATGTACCAGGTTTATTATTATCGTTATCCGTAGCTATAACATAGTTTGCATTATCATAAGAAACAAGTGCAACATTTTCCTCTTCTAAAAGATGTCTTTCTGAGATTTCTGATGAGATGAGATGAGCTAAAATAAAAACTTTAGGCTCGCTATTTTTTTATTATTCAATATCATATTACCTGTGTTTGATCTGGTGCATAACGCTCTGATTTTATTTTCTTTGCAAGAGCCATAATTCTACTTATCCTTGAACTCGATGAACTTTGCATGTTATGAAACCAGCCTGTTTGCTGCAACAAATATAATAATATAAATAAAAACCAGGAAAGATAACATATAGTCATAAACAAGAAAATAACAGTCAATAATTCTAAAAAAGAGTCATAATTAAAAAAAGAAACGTCAGTGAATTCGAAAATCGTATGTGCCGGTTCTGAAAACAGTCATATTCCAAAAATAGTTTGAAAAAATATACTTACATATTCAAAAAAATTGGCTAAACTCAA